TCTCACTGCGGGCACCGTCCCGCTCATGTACCCCCTGGGGAGTCGCAAGGGCTCAGGAGGGCACAGTTGGGAGGTTAACATGTTTAACTCCAAACCATGAAAACCTGAATTTCGCAGGAGTTGGATTATGCAGGAGACAGGCAGACACCAGCCACTGTCATGGTCCCCGGGACGGGCCCCGTCCTACAGCCTTTGCGTGACCAGCCCCACCGACCCACACGGGGCTTTGTAATGGGGTAAGACCCCAGTATCCAACCCCAGCAACGCAACTTTAACTGCAACCTAATCCACTTCCCTTCCATAATACCTGCATGTAATGAGAATTTGCAAAGATTTATGGCCACAACAACCGCCCCTGCTCCCCCTCGCCAGCCACTGCTGTTTCCCTGCGAAAGCAGTTTGGGTTACCTCGATGTTCTCCAGGGGAAAAGCATAATTAGCAACTCAGGAGTTTTAATGCCTGCGTCAGGGAGGGGGCTCACGGGGGGTTATTCTCAGGTTTTCTGATCACTTGTTGTTTGCTCTGAACTCTTTGGAAAGGCACCAGCTCTCTTCCCCCTCCCCAGACCTAACTGCTCTTATTATAGACTTCAAAAGGTCAGGGTGAAATCCTAGCTCGGCTGCGGTGAACAGACATATTGGTGGTGATGGTGCGGCCAGAGCATGGCCCCCGACCCCAGACTCGATGTAATTACTCCCAGGAGCCGCTCCGAAGGCAGCAGAGCCGATGGCAGGAGGACAGGCCACGTGCATAGGTGAGGATTTGCAAGATCCGACCTTAAAGGAGGACTAGTGGTTTAAGTGGGGTGAATCTGCTGCTTCTCTAAAGAGTATCACAATTCTTGCCATAAATGGGCTCTCACCCCAGCCAGCTGGAGCTTTGCACTGCGTTTCACGAGACCCGGCTCTATGAATTTAACTGACAAAATCTTGGACAGTCAAGGCCATATTTTGAAGATTGCTCATCACCAGCAGGCAGGGCCAGGGGACCCCCAGTTTCCAAGCACCCCAAGCCCAGGCAGAGCCATGGGGTGGACGAGGAAGGTGCCGATCCCCTCCAGCCTCCCATGCCCCAGGGACCAGGGCATGAAGCAGTACTGAAGAGGAGGATGGAGTCTATTGACTTCTGAACCTCCCCGGTATATCCCCATGCAGACCACAGGAACTGCCAAGAGAAGAATCCAATAAAATCCTAAGTACTTATTTTGATGCTTTCTAATGGGAAGGGGGTTGATGTCTCCTTATACGCCAGCTCAGGAGCTCACCCCATCATCAGGGACGGACGCGAACCCTGGATATGAACTTCCCCATTAACAGAAAACAGAAGTGATACGTATAGATGTAACATGCTTGAAAGAGCCACTAAAAATAACCACCCTTTGGGGTTTATTAAGGAGTAAGAAGGGGAAAGAGCCCAGACCCAGTTCTTTGCAGTTAGATCTTGCGAGGGGTGTGTGTCTGGATGGTGCCACCCCTGGCTGGTGCCATCCATCAGGTGAGCACACTAGATGGCACGCCACCTTGCCCCGAGAGGACAGTGAGCCGAAGCTGTGCCAAGGCTGCAGGACCTCTGCCAGCTGTTCCGGTGGGGTTCACCTGCTTTGGGTGTTATTTAACCCACAGCATAGCCCAACAAGCTCAGATTTCACATAGCACCTCATCTCTGTGCTGGAGAGAGGTGCCACAGCGTCACAACCTTGCTGTCCCACCCCTGCAGCACACGGCAGCGACTTCCCTCCCACTTTACAGATCGGCAAACTGAGGCACACCAAGACATCTCCCCAGCAGCAGGGTGCCAACCTTCAAACTATTTCAAATCTTTACCGACCTGCCTTGGAGTATCCGAGTCCGATCACACACAAAGGCAGCAGCAAAGCACATGAGCACCAGAACCAGTTACTGTCTTTTTATAACAGACCCAATGACCCCAGCCCTGATCTCATCAGCATTTCCAACAAGCTCCTTCTCCCCTTTGCTCTTCCCCAGCAAGGAGAGGTCCCTTCAACCATCCATAAACCCACCTCATCCTCCATCCTCGACACCAAGTTGACCAGGAGTGTTGATCTGCTGGAGGGCAGGAAGGCTCTACAGAGGGATCTGGACAGGCTGGATTGATGGGCCCAGGCCAACTGTGTGAGGTTCAACAAGGCTCAGTGCCGGGTCCTGCACTTGGGTCACAACAACCCCATGCAATGCTACAGGCTTGGGGAGGAATGGCTGGAGAGCTGCCCGGCAGAAAAGGACCTGGGGGTGTTGGTTGACAGCCGGCTGAACATGAGCCAGCAGTGTGGCCAGGTGGCCAAGAGGGCCAATAGCATCCTGGCTTGTACCAGGAATAGCGTGGCCAGCAGGACTAGGGAGGTGATAGTGCCCCTGTACTGGGCACTGGTGAGGCTGCACCTCGAGTACTGTGTTCAGTTTTGGGCCCCTCACTACAAGAAGGACATTGAGGTGCTGGAGCGTGGCCAGAGAAGGGCAACAAAGCTGGTGAAGGGTCTAGAGCACAAGTCTTATGAGGAGCAGCTGAGGGAGCTGGGGGTGCTCAGCCTGGAGAAGAGGAGGCTGAGGGGAGCCCTCATCACTCTCTGCGACTGCCTGAAAGGAGGCTGGAGCCGGGGGGGGTCGGTCTCTTCTCCCCAGTAACAAGCGATGGGACGAGAGAAAATGGCCTCAAGCTGCGCCAGGGCAGGGTTAGGTTGGGTATTAGGAAAAATTTCTTCACCAAAAGGGCTGTCAGGCCCTGGCCCAGGCTGCCTAGGGCAGGGGTTGTGTCCCCATTCCTAGAGGTATTTAAAAGCCGGGGAGATGTAGTGCTTAGGGACATGGGTTAGTGGTGCACTTGGCAGTGCTAGGTTAACAGTTGGACTTGATGACCTTGAAGGTCTTTTCCAACCTAAACCATTCTATGATCTCCAATGACTCCTTGGCCAGGAGACCCACACTGTCCAACCAACCAACACACTCTCCACTGTCTTTGCGCCTGTCTCAGCCTATCTCCACCTATGGTTTACAGTGAATTACCTGTGCTTTGCGGCCAAGATCATCTTTTGTTCCCTTTTTATACAGCACCTGGCACCATGAGCTCGGTATGGGGAGGTGTCTGATTACATGGCTAATAAATAAACAAGGACCTTGATCCTCTTCAGCATGTGGTTGTCCAAGGCTGCAATTTTCAGAGAAACTGCTGCAGGCTGCACTTGATGCTATTAGTAATTCAGATGTGTTTGGGAGACGAGATGTTCCCAGGACGAGGAGCAGGCGCTGCTAAACCAGACCTTCCCACAAGCAGGCGTGCACACAGCAGGGAGCGGAAAAACCCAAACTGGCTCCAACTCGACGTTCAGTGGCACAACCCATGTCCTGGGCTGGGCACACCCTGAACACAGTCAAAGACCTGGTGTTTCTTGCAGAGGCTGCAAGGATGGCTGAAGAAAGGTGGGGGAGAAGATCACTTTAAGGCAGCTACTGCTACAGCATCTCCCTCCCACAGCGCGTTTTGCAACAAGGCCTTTCCTCCTGATGGCCATCTGGTCCTGCTCCACCTTTCATGAATTGTACTCAGTCTCCCGAAGTCTCCCCTGGCATCATCCACACACTCCTGCCCCCCACACCTACGCTCCCATCCCCACGTCCACGCTTACAAAGCACTCGCAGACTGCGCTGCTGAATTACCGTGACCACAAAACCCCACGGACCTCCAGGCCATCCACTGCTACAGGAGCGGCCCGGCTCCTCCATCCCCGGGGCTCCGATTTCTCCGTGATTTGAGGCACAGAGGATGGGAACCAGCACAAGGTGGGATGCAGCTGCTCACAGCTGCTGTAAGCATGTGTGTGTCCCCTACAAACCTCCTTTTCCTCCATCCCAGACCTCTTCAGCAACTGAGACATTCTCTGTTCCCTTTGACTCAGAAACATCAGTGGTTGCCTAGATTAGAAAGAAGGAAAAAAAAAAAAAAGGCCTTGGAGAAAAATCCCAAGAGGACATTAATTAGGAAACAGAACTCCCCAGCTCTGGAAGCATCAGGGAGGAGCGATACTTAAACTCCCAACCTGCCGGAGTAACTTTGAATCATCTTTCATCTTCCCCTGGATCGGGTGTAATCTAATGACATTAGCTTGGCTTCGCTCTAGTGAAATTGGCATCGGTGCTACAGAGGCAGGGAGATTAAAACATATGAAATAAATGTTCCTGGGGTGACTGACAGTATAATGACATTCCAACAGGCAGCTCAATCAGCGTGAGACTAACAAAGGATCAGAGGGAACCAGCCAGACTCGCAATATTACCCGCAAATACAGGTATTTTTTTTAATCCAGACATTTTTTTTACTTGACTGGCTTAGCCCCTATTCTTGGGGTTTTCCCCAGGCTGTATATGGCTGTATTCGGGGTGGGGGATGGCCGTTGAACTTGATTACAACCCATGCTCACCTGCTATTGAACTTCGTTAGCTCCATAGCCTTGTTCAGGGCTGGAGCGGAGATTTCTGTGCTGGGAAGTCAATGCGAGCTTTGTGGGCTGCCCCCTCCCTCCTTTTGTCCCTGTACGAAGAGAGGACTTGTAAACCCGAAACGGAGAAAGCTGCTTTCGGCAGACAACTTGCCTTGATATTCAACCCACACACGAGCACACACGGAGGTGTCACGCTTACCAAATTAAATCACTCAAATTGGTTTTTTTTTTTTATAAAATCAGCCTCTCGGTAGGACAGCTGCCTTCTTACCCAGGCACAGCGCAGGCTATAAGAGGCGAGCGATTATTCCACTTGATTTAACGGACAGCGTTTGCGATTGGTTTCGTGCATTGTGTGGCACCCCAGTAGGCGACAGGACTTTCACGTGCCAAGCCTCTGCCTCGTGAGCCGCTGCCCTACAGGTACCACCATCAAACTGGCCGCTTCGGGAGCATCATCCTGCTGCTGCAGCCACGGCTCAGCCCCTCTCCAGCCTCACGCCGCATAACGAGCAGCTGTTTCGGGAGCTGCCGTTTTGTTTCCAGGAGGAATCGGGGTCTCCCTCATGCCCGAGACCCCGCAGCCACCCTGCCACAGTCCTGGCGTGGCACCCTCGTGATAGCCCAGCAGCCCTCCAGTGACAACGGCATCGGCCGTGAAGGCTGGCTGGCTCTTCTCCGTCTGCACGCCTGCGTCGCTGCAAACGGCCAAGAGCTTTTTGTTCCCTCGGACAGGGCGCTCGCTGCCCGCGCCGGCTTCCTGCGGGCGCTGAAAGCAAACCCAACTGTTTATACCTTGTAATGATGCTGTTTAGTCTGACTGCTGGGAAACAGAAATGCACGTGAAACCTAAGCCTCTGATGCCAAAGATAAGAAATCAGGACCCCTGGCAAACATCTGGCCGTTTCCCCGGCACTGAACCCTCATCAAAGATTACAACAAATGCATGGAGAGAGACAGACTTTTTTTTAAATGAGTACTTATAACAGGCTGGTAACTGGTTACCAGCGGGCTGACACCGCAGCTCTGCCATCACGCCAGGACTCTGCGTGTTAATAGAGATTACTCATACAAGCAAAGCCAGCAAGATTAGGTCTCAAAGGAATAATCCCATACAAAGAATTCACTGTACCTCAGCCTCCACAGGGCTAATAAAAAAAAATAAAAAAAAAAAAAGTGAAATTCAGTACATCAAATACCAGAACAAACAAACTGCAGCAATTAATGGGAGAGCTCATGTACCAAATGCTAAAACATAACGATTACACAAACAGGCTGCAGGGCAGCACCTCGAATGAGTAAGAGCTGCAAGATCAAGACCAAACCTCTGGAAAATTAAATCCCCTAGACCGAGGGCTGTACTATGCCCCAAATGCCTGCGGCTCCTCTGTCTAGGTCTGCACTCCTCGCTCAGGCACCGTTTCCAGAAGCGGGTCTATCCCATTGCCATCTGCTCCTCAAGGCTTCGAGAGCATCTTTGATAAATGAGCTTTTCTGCATATCCACCATAAATTTCAGTAGATGCCACCCCAAAGCCATGTGTTTATTTTTCGAAGTCAAGACTTGATTAAAGTTCTTGAGGTTTTTTCAGATTCGTTTTTAATGTTTCCTTTCTGATACAGGGTCAGCATGTGGAAATTGGATAAGCGCACGCTAAAAATATAATTCTGTAGACAGCTTCAGCCCACACGAAAGGAAATCTTTCTTCTCGGAGAACCCACACTCTACTGCCTGCAAAAACCCGGCGTGTTTCTGACACCGGCGGATACACAAGGAAGCTCATCGCTTCCACGTGTTAAGACTTTTACATAAACACTCGGACCGTCAGTACTATCCTACTCCACATTTCAATACTGGCACCGCAAGCTGAGCCAAAATCACCCTCTCCTCTCTGCTAATAGCTGGGCTTAACTTGAAAGTAAAACAAGCTCCGGGGGTACCTGAAATCCTCTCCTTTTTGCTTGTTCATTCAAGAAAGCCACAAACACAGAGACACTCTGCGAAAGAGCAGTTTCGCCCCCACCCTAACCAATCCTTTCCATGGGAATCTGCCAGAAGACGCTCCTCTATTAACTTTAAAACACACAAGGAAAACAGCTAAACAACATTAATGAGAATCCTGCCCCTTGGCTTTAATGTTTACCGTCTCATTTTAAAGGGAATACCTTTCATTTGGTTTAATGAAACACTAATTAATTGAAAGAAGAACCCCATCTATGTTTTTGCTTGTTTCCTAGGCAAGGTGAGCGCGTAGGCTGCGCCCCTGGAACTGGCATTTTGGGTTATTCATTACTGGGCTGCTGAAACACTTGCATGGGAAATAGGTTTTTCTCCCCTCATCGAATATAGGAAAGTGGCTGCACCTCTGGGCTGGGAGTCGCGGGAGGTGACGATAGGATGCTTTGCAAGGGGAGGCAGCCGGGGCTGTGGGGTGGCTCATCTGGGAGTCAGGATGAGCCACAGGTTTTGCAAAGCTACAGACGAGCCAGGGAGCAGCAAGATGTTGGGGGGCCTGGGCTCCCAGGGTGGGGGGTGTTTAGCTCTGCCTCAGCATCCCCGTGCAGCCCCCAGGGCGATGGGCCACCCACTGCTCTTCCCACTGCCCCCCTCCGCCCTGCAGGCAGCACCCCGGCGTGCGGGGAGGCCCCCCCGGGGGGACCCTGCACCGGGGCAGGGAGAGGAGGGGTGGGGGATTAGGGGCTGGGGTGGC